GATTAAATTAATTTATAAAATAAATAAATATAATAAATTACATATAATGATTACCTTAATTCATTTTCGGGATTAATTGTGAAAGAATAACTATCTTTTCCATTGGCACGAGTTGATAATTCAGGATTAGGAATATGAAATTCATCTTCTTGAATTTTCAAACAATCTTCTTGTTCAAGCACAGTTTCGTAAATAGTTATTTGCAATCTTTCTGGTTGGACAGTATCGAGCTCATAATTTATCGTAATCATAATATTCGTAAACTTACGAAGTATTGTGTATGAATTATCACTTATATTTTTAATCTTAAATAAAGGACTAATAATAAATGATAAATTATGTTAAATGAATCAAATTTGTTAAAATATAAAAAAATTAAGATAATATATGGACAGTATGCTATTAAATCATCAAATCTTTAAATGCAATACATACCCATCGGGAAATCTAGCTTCAATTAAAGAACATAGTATTTCATATGCATTTCTTTCTATATCACGCTTTGATGTTTCATGTTCAACTCCTAGGTTTTCCGTTATTATTTTCTTATAGTCTGTCCATTTTGGTCCAATTTTGTCAATATCTTTTGAAAATATATTCTTCTTCCATTGGTTATATCTATTCTTGAAAAGATCTATAATTTTTTTTCTAAGTTCTGAATTATTTGGACACAATTCTTGACTGAATAATTTTTCAATGATTTCTGAACCAGAAGAGTTGAAACTAGAACTTGCTTGCTTATCATACTCATTAATTTGATTATCAGGTATTTCAAAAGTAAATTTATGAATCATTGATTTTTGTCCCAGATGTTTAAAATAATCTTTGTATATTTGAGAAAATGAAAGAAATTTAGGATACGTTAACATGTTATACATTGTTTGCCAAATAGCTTCATTCACTTCATTGATGTCTAATTTATCATTATTTGATGCCTGTGTTTGAACTTCTCTTATTAATAATGACCCATAAATAAATCTACGCTTTAATTGCTGCCATTCAATAATTAACGCTGCGTCGAATTTGACCTTTAAATCAGAATACTTTGAAAAGAATTTCTCGATCTCGATATCTAATTGAAAAATTTAAAATTATAAAATTAATCACATAAATATATAAATAAAAGTTAAAAATAAATTATTTATTACCATTATTCATTTCTTGTTCTTTTTGTTTTTCATTGCATTTTTCATCTGGGATCATAATGACTTCACTTAAATGAATGTCATCTTCAAGCCGTCTAAAATATATTAATAATTTAAACAAAAAACAACACATATAAACATATGATAAAAAAAAATTTACCCATATAATTCTTCAAGTTTATTATAAGCTAACTTTTTTAAAGTTTTGGCATCTTCTTGAATAGTAAGCCTTTCATTTTCTTTCTTAGATTCCAATTCTTTCTTAGCTTCTTTCAATGCATCTTGATATTGATTTAATTGTTCCTTCAAATCATCTATATTTAATCCATAATTTATAAGAATCTCAAGCATTTTCATGTTCATAGTTGAACGATCAATTCTCACAGAACATTTTCCCCATCGATTCATAAATTCTTCTCCATTCTTTATAGTGGCAGTACCTGGTTTCATGACATTCAAGGGTGGAATTACGTTTTGTGTAATAAAAGCTTGATATGAAATGGACTCAACAACTATTTTTTAAAAAAAAAATTTTAATAAATTTATTTAAAGCAAAGTAATAATAATAATAATAAAATAATGTAAAGTAATGTAAAATAAATAAACAAAGACAATTTAATTTTTAAACTCACCTTTTGGATAAAGCTCATCATTATAAGATTTTTCAATTTCTGATTTAATGATCTTTGGCAAGGAAATCTGAATTATATGTATATATGTTTAAATAAATACGCAAAACATATTTATAAATTAATTAATTTGAAACTATAGCGTACGTTAAACCCGTCAAAAACTTCAAAATTCTCTTGATCTTCTTGACTTTTCTTAACTTCGAACTCAACACACATCTTATTATCATCATTTAATACTCCGTCATCGTTATCTTTTTCCCAATCAAAACTATTTAAATCTTGATCGCTCATTAAACAAATTTGGTAATCTGTCAATTTTGTCAAATATCTAAATAAAAATAATTTTTAATTATTGATTTAACTTATAAAACATAAAGAAAATGTGTTAAAGATACCTGTGAAGATTTATCATATTCTTTTTTCTTTGAGAAGAAGCATTATCTTCATAACATCCATATTCTGGCCAATGAATCACTAAGCCTAAGTCAAGATTCATTTTTAAGAAATAAATTCCTGGACGAAGTGACAGCTTGTTATCAGATTCCTGGATGTTAGAAGCTTGTTGAGATGAACGAATCAGCATTTCATATCTATATATAAGCAATTAGATTAGTAAATATATCTTGATAATAATCAACAAACAAAATAGAATATTTACAATTTTTGATCGATTATATTTTTGTTTAGCAAGAGCTTTGTAATTAAAACATGATTTCCATAACATCCAATCAATCGCATGGTACAAGAATTCAATTGATTATAATCGATGTCTGAGATCGATTTAAAACTATTTTTAACATAGTCATTACACAAATTCTTTAACCCTTCTTTTGAAATAATAATTTTGTCAACTAATTATATAATAATTGAAAGTTAGGTTAAGATTCGATTGAAGTACAAATTAATACCTTAATAAAATTTTAAGTACCTAATCCGTTGGATCCATCATCCTTACACAAATCTAATAAATGGTATAATCCTGGAATTAATTCAGTTAAATCATTCAGGTTTTCCATGTCATCATCATTCACAGAAACGATCTTCGCGTTATTTTCGGAGCCAGCTTCATTAACAACTGGATTTGGATTTGCAGAAAGATTCAAAATTGAACTTATCATTGGTCTAATATTAAATCCGGAAATTAACGAATTATTATTGATAGGTTGACCATCCGATACATTATCGTAAATAAAAGAGTTGGTCTTCAAATCTTGATTTTGTTGATCTGTACAAGTTGTTGGGGATCCAGGACTGTTTGTATCTTCTATATCTTGAGAAGCTAGTGATTCTTCAGCGATCACACTTCGTCCAGTATTCAAATGAACCAAAGGATTTTCAGAAGGCAACATGATAAGATTGATTTATTACGTCGTTATCCTGAAACTTTATAAAATAATAATGTCAGAGTTTTTAAGTTTAATTTTAACATTCATATTTTTATCTTTTTTATGTGAGAAATAAGTAAAATATACTAAAAAGCTGCATTATTTATCTAGATGCTGCGGGATTGGTTTTAAAATCATTCTTACCAGGTCAAAACACAAATTTATTAATAAACGGATTTCCATTGATCTTTGCCTTTTTATAGACAAATCTGTACAACTGTAACATGGTTATTGTTTCCAAGTTTAGAAAATTAATTGATCGGCAAAAGTAGATGCGAAGAATGCGAAGAATGATTAAACTAATAATGGATTTTATCGTTGGTCGTGTGACATATAATGGTGACAAATTAAAAAAAAAAAAAAAAAAAGGGACGATAATGTTAAAAATGTATGGTTATACAAAAAATATCCGAATTTATATGATTTATGAATCTGTCTATCAATTTTGTATTTTAAAACATAAAAGAAGTAGTAGGCATCTAAAAAAATAAAAAAAAAAAAAAATTGATCACAATTGACGCTTGACTTGAAAATCTTTACTATAATATTTTTTTAAGACATTGTTATCCAAGTTTAGTTAGTTTAGAAATTATCATTATTTTCAATCTGTCCTTGATAAAATTTAATTATAAAAATGGGTTTTCGCCCAAAGAGAAGGAGGCTAATAAGGTAGATAAGAAAAGTTGAAAACAACATTTAGAATTTACTTCGCATTCATGATAATAGTAACGAAACCTTAAAGAAAAAACGTATCTGATTGTATAAAGCGCAGAAGAATGAGGTAGTACCTTATTAGATTAGTTTTTCGCTATTAAATAATTTTAATTTCAGTTGAAAATTATAAACTTCCTGCTAATAAAATAATTAACACTATTAATTTTCATCATATCACATAAAAGTCTTGATTAATCGCATTCTGTGTAATTCTGTAATTTCGGTGATTAAATGTGATTTATTTAATTTTAAAATGAGAATAAATTAAATGAACAATCAGTACTCGATATAGCGACTCTCCCGGCTTATTTTAAATTCAAAATTTATAAATAGGTTTGACGATATTTTCTCTTCTGCAATTGAAACTTCTAGAGAAAGTGTTTGATTATACGCATCAGCTTCCATTGGAATGACCACTTTGATGTCAAGGGCTTTTTCTAGAATACTAAGTCTATCTTGGGAGAAGGCAAGGGCTGATGTGAGGGTCGTAAGTTGTTTTAATATAGAACAAAAATTTTAAAAAAAACTTTTAAACAAGAATTTATTGAGTGATCGTTATATCAAGAGTTCGTTATATCAAGTTCTGACTGTATTTTACTTTATTAATCACCTTTACTAAAATATAAATATTTAATTTTATGCATTATTTAAAAAGATATAAGACCTTTGCAATAGTAAAGGGAAAACAGTCAGAAAATCAATTTACTTTTATATGCCAAATATGATTTCAAAGATTTAGCATTGACTCATTATTTATGTTTCTGGTAGTTTCCCATATTAAATGATAATGATTTTATCTGAATTTAGTCATAATCTTCAATCAATGATTATATTTTACACATGGAAAATTGCTAGAAAAATCGGGGTTTGCGATTTTTTGGTTAAAATTAAGATCTAAAGATCTGTATACATCAAAAACTAATATGCAATAAAAATATAATAATTGAAATTTTTGTTAAAATTTCCCAGAACCTGATTTTTCTAGCAATATTTTCATATAATCATAATAACTTGCAATATTATTAAATATATACAAATTTTTAACTTTAAATTTTATAAATATATAATATTTATATATTTAAAATTATATTTATATAATTTAAATATTTTAAATATTTTAAATAATATATTATTATTTTAGAAATAGCTTTATAAAAAATATTTAAATTTTTTGATTTAATTTTAAATAACCACAGAGTCCATTACCATACATATTACTTGACTATTATCAAATTTTTATGTCATAGATTTTAAGTGATATTGTTACAATAGTTTTGTGGCTTCAATTAAAATCTCAAAAAGGGTAAATAAAACTAAAACTATTATTTGAAGAATCATGGATGAGGATTCACAATAACATCAAAGATTATTCTTAATATAAAACATATAAGAAAAATACACAAAGATAATTCAAAGTTATTTCAAAGATTGCACTTCAAAGACTTCAAGTCAATATAGCAAATCAATATAATATCAAATAAGTTTACTAATAATAATTAAAGAGATTGTAATGAATGTAAAAGGATCACGAATAAATTATAATAGTTTTAAACAGTTATGACAGATAAGTTTTATACATAATTAATTATATTTCTTTATTAATATAACATATAAGTTCAGTCCTAAAAGATTAATATCTTATTAGTGTTGAGGCTTAAAGAAATATAAAGATATTTATATATGTTGAATAATTAATAAAATAAACTAAACTAAATATATTAAAGGAAATAAAGTTGCTACTTTACTAAATAATAAAATTGTCATGTTAATAAAATTATCATATCTGTAAATAACTAAATGAATATCTATAATCTAAATAATTTTCAAAGATAATAAAATTGATATTTAGAGGTTTACATAATGATCAATAGTAATAAAATGAATAAAATGATCTTTTTAATTATCTATATAGCAATAAAATTGAGTTTTTAATCTACTAATTAAATCTATTTAAAATTTTACTTATTATAATATAATTATAAATATGAAATATATAACAATCAGTAATTATAAAATTTAACTGTCTCATAATTAAAGATGGCGTTACAATTAGTTGCAACTAGTGATAAATAAGTATTACAAGATTGCAACTAGTTATAATATTAATAAAATTAAGTTACAACTAGTTGTAACTAGTGATAAATAAGTATTACATAATTGCAACTAATTGTAGTACTATCTTTACATATAATGCAAAATATATAAGTAAAAATATGATTTAGCTATATTGATTTATACTTTAATATATACTTTGATTTCAAAATAAAAATTCCTAAAACTTTAAATTTTCTCATATCTGCTCTTATTTTCTTAAGTTTTATTATTTTTTGTAATTAAATATTAAATAGTTTATAAACAAATGTTAAATATGAAAGATGAGTATATATAGTAAAGTTATTATTTTAATAATTTATAGATGATTACTCTAAAAATACATATTTGTTAATCATTCTAATCATTTTTTAATATTTTAAAAATAAATTCATTGGAACTTATAATTAGCTCAGTAATCAATCTTAGAATTACAGATAATATAAATAAAGAATTAATAATTATAAGTAATATTATTAATAAAATTAATATAAATTAAAAACAGAAACTTGACTTTTCAGTAGCTTTATTATTCTAGTCATAAAAATTAGTTGAAATTTATTTCAATAATTATGTAAAAATTATAGAATTTTCTTTATGTTAAAAAAGAATAAAAAACCAATAATAAGAGTAAAATAACTCATCATATATTTGAATGTATATATTCTAGTAAACTTATAAGTAATTATTAAAGATGATCACTGCAATTAAAAAAAATGGCACAATTGAGTTGCAACTTATGGTGCAATTAAATTTCCTTATGGCGCAATTAAGTTGCAACTCAATTGAAATTTGAAAATAATTATGGGGACCATCTTTAGTAATTATATTATTGATTTTTTTAATAATGAAATTGCAACTTAATAAAATTACTTGTCTATAGCATGTAAATCTATCAAAATAAAATCAGCTTTGAATATTATTATTACTAGTATAGTAAAAGAATATAATCATCAAATATAACTGAACATTATCTTATAAACTTTAAAATATAAAAGATTATCTTTTGAAATTTTGAAAATAATAAAATTTATATTACAAAAAGCAATATAGGATTTAAATAAATATTATTTCTTTTAGTTATAAAATTTCTAATCAAATTATTTATAATCGTAATCTTTATAATGCTGTTTAAAGGTTTTGAATACCACTCAAATAATATTATAAAGATATCTAAAATATTATAAACTATATATTATAATTAAAAAATAAAATTTCTAATTAAATCGTTAATATTTAGATAAATATATATAATAATTAATTAATAGGATTATTTTAGATATCACTAATATAACAATAATATTTGATTCATTATATAAATATTTTTCAAACTAATAATATATATTATATAAATTAGTTTAATATATATTTAATCCTTTTAGTAATACTTAATAATAAAGTAAAACTTTTTTCTTTTCTTACTCAACCATATTTTTTGAAAATGAAAAATTTATTTTTTATTAATTTTTATAAAATTTTGTTTATTTTTACATATGAAAAGCTTTAAGAAGTTAGATAAATATAGCAAATAAAATATCGCTATTTTAAGAAATATAAGAGTATATTATTTATTTGCATTTTTTAGCTTTATTTTAAAATTTAGCAATTTGTTGTAAAGATTTGTATAATGCTTTAGCAACTTTACTAATACTAATTAAAATAGTCTAAATCAGCAGAAATCAGATAGCTGATTTTAGGGTAATTTTGATATTATTTACAGTTAATATTAAGGTTGAATCAGTTCAATCCAGTCTGATCTAGTCTAAAATATTATTTTCTTTTCTGTCTAGATGATTTATAAGACCAGATCTTTAGCATATATAATATTAAAGGTTTAATTTTATAGAAGACTAAAATAAAATTATTTTTATTATAAATGAATATAAATATAAAAATTATATAATCAAATCAAAGTGTTTAAAACTGTATATATTATTTCTCACAAACATAGAGTTAGATCAGTTCTAAGACTGATTTCAGTTCTAACAATCTGTTCCAGTCCAAGATTTGTTTTCTTTTCAATCTAGATTGATTTATAAGAATGGTTTAAAAATCTCTATAGAATATAATAAAATAAATATTCATCTGATATATATATATTTAATGATATATAAAAAATATAATAATAATTGCATACAAAATGATTACTGTATCTATTT